TACTAAAAAAATAAAAACATCTAATTATATATGAAAACAAAAATAAATAAATAAAACTGAAACCTATATTTAACGCAAAGACTTTCTAAAAAATATCTAATAAAAAACAATGAACACTGACAATCAACTGAGCAGGTATGTGCTTTAATATTATTACGAAAGGGGCCCCATCCTGAGAGTACGATCAAGAGCAAAGATGTTTTTTAAACTGCAGTTATAAAGAGGATGCCAATTTTATACAGCTAGAAGAGCCTTGAGGCTATTATGCCTGTCACTATATTTAACTACTGTATTGAAGCTCCTAAACTACATTCTGGTAGTTACAGCTCATGAAAAACACAGTGACAAAACTGCTAGTGGCAGAAACATTTAACTTTCTTGTTAGCAATCTCCCCCATGTGGCACTTTAGCAACAGCAAGTTGTTTATTATGTTCTGTGCTAGGCAAAACCGATTAAACGGAACTCTTAAGAATCAAAGTGTTATAAATGCATGGAAACACAGCGAGCTGTAAATTCCATGGAATTAAAAGCTTACCAACCCTAATACTAATACATGGCAATTTCTAGCTTAATGCTGATATAAAGAAATGGCTTTTTTATGTAAGCAATAAATGCACAGGGCACAGTGTCTACTAATATATTTTTCGAAAGAGAAACATCTGCATATGACCTCTCTTTGGCCTTGGCTTATGAATTTTAGGCTTTCTTCACAAATCAAAAGATTAATTTTTCTTTTGCTTGTTTTTCCTGTTCTGGGGAAAATGAAGCATTTCACGTGCAACCTAATTCAAACACATTTTTAAAGAAATATAAGTAATCTAACATTAGCCTGAACCCTTATGTTGTTCCAAATGTATTTTATTAGTATAATAACCCCATATTTTTCAACACAATATGAAAGCAACCTTGTAGGTAGGAAACCTTAGGTAATCACCCAGAAAAAAAAGAAGAGAAACCAAGCATGTAACACACAGCCCAAATGAAAATAGAATCATTTCATTTTTAAACTACAAAAAAGCTAGAACATTTTTTTTTAACATATAAAGGTCCTTTGGTGTTAAACTTAAGAACTTTTCCCATCCATTATTGCAGGGCTATAAGCATTGCTTCCACGGTCTCTTCAGTAGCCAGTTTTATGCAGAATAAGGAGCATAGCACAAAACAAACAGTGCACTTTCTAAAAAACATCCGTATTATTACGGAAGAAGCAAAAAAGTCAAAATTACATTGGCATCTTGTTTGCTTTTTATCTATTCACCATAAGGCAAATGGATAAACCATTTCTGTTTGTTTCAAATCCCCCTTCACATAGCATCAATTGAAAGGACGACAGCATACAAGCCAGACAGCTGTGCACTGCTGCAAAATCATACAAAAGGGATGATTCAATGGCGATACGAGAGGTGTTTAGATTATAAAAGAATGCAGTCTAAAAAAGAGACACGTGCACACAGATCCAGAGATGCAAGGGCCCCTGAGTGGTTCATCTAATAACATTCTCAAAATGGAGCACAGGTGGAATCGTACAGCCAGAAGGACCCCGCTCTAAAGACTTGATGACCTTAACAGGAAGTCATCCAACTGACGCTCAGGTGACTTTTATCATCTTATGTGATAGACCCATCCAAAGACTGAGATCAAGAGCAAAAGTATTTTTAAATAGCTGCTGGATGTGTGACTTGTGGTGCATCATGGACAACTGTTCCAGACTGGGCTCTTGCATGACTGAGAGTCTGTCTTCCAGTTGGCATAAAAGCACTGCTGCAGATGATCCATTGTGGCAATACAAGTGAAACTAAATACCTGAGCAGTCATCACTCCTAAGATGGATAGGGGATACCAAGGAAAGACAGACTGAATAAAATCTGGCAGCTGCAAACTGGGAGGCAAATCAGATCCAGCAGGAAATCAGAAGTGGAAAATATAGCACTTGTGCTAAATTACAGTGCAATAGTAAATAAAGGCTTCAGGGTGTCCCCAAAAAACAATTGAACAAATCAGCCAACACATATAAAAAGACAAATTATTCTAAGAAGGTTCTTCTTATTCCTAAGAAGGTTATTCTTCATAACCTTCCTTGAAAATATAAACTTACATATGAAACCCAAACTGTCTACTACACAAAACCAACAGGTGCTCCATTAGGAGAATTACAATACCCACAGTAAATATCCACTGTTTTTTTTCTTTTCATCTTCATAGTACAAATCAAATATTTTCAATAGAAAAGAATGTACTATAATATTCATGTTTTTGCTGGCTGGCAGCAGCCCAATTTAATTGTAATAAACAACTGTGGATTGATGTAATTCTTAATTCCAACACAAAGCAAAAAGTAAGAGGACACAAAAGGAAATGTCTCACTGACTTTCTACATGTGTAAAACCTGTTTTCTCATTAAACTAAAGCATATTTCAAAACAGCATTAAATATTGAAGCATGTTAATCCTTTAATCTGCCACAGGGATTTCAGCATTAGAGATGCAATCAAAATCACATTGAAAAGTTGTGTCAATAATTAGGTTGATTTCAGCATATTAACATTAATTACACTTTAATTTGAAGGATTTGAAACTGATCTTACATCTGGAAGGACCAGATGTGAGCCTAAATATGATCTATCTTACGATATTGTGTTACAAACACACTTCAGTCAACTTTCCTCTCCTTTAGTTTTTAAGCATATGTCTCGTGGTCCAAAATAAGACCCACAAATCACTGTACAAAATAATAAATAAAATACCATTTAAGAAAGAAACAATCACTTAGCATTGTTTAAAACAAATCAGAAAATTATATTTTAAGTAGGGCTAACACAATGTGATCTATCGGACGTTTTGAGGGGGTTCTTCAAGCTCCTTGTTTATAGGAGATGTGCAAGAGGGTTTTAGATCTAAGGCCTTAGTACCAGTGGACACTGCAGTATTTGTAGTTCATTCACACCCAGGCAGAAGTGTATATATTTCTATCAGATAAATAAAGGAGGCTGGTATGATTTCTGCAAGATTGGTTGGCCATTAACAAAAGAAAAATGTGCATGTAATTATTTACAATAGTAGAAAACACTTTTCACTTTGTTAAAGAGATTACGTTAGTTATCTCTTAGTTAAGTGATTACATGAATTACAAAAAAATTACAGCATGTAATGGAAATGAAACTAGACAGGATACGTACTTCCTCTACAGATCACCTGCAATACAAGAGCTTATTTAAAAGCTTTAGCCTACACAAATTAATGGGTTATGATTTATTGTACTTTTTCTGAACCTAACAATAGACAGTTTCCAATTTAAAGTGATCTCCATGCCCTTTCAACCTGTTCGAACGTACTTATTTGTGCATTGTTTTAGATTGTTCATTTCTTGAAAACCTGAATGAGAATTACTAGGTTTAGTTAAACTGAACTTTAATAATAGCTGAAGACCTTTCTAAAATGGGAAGAGACTAGGAAACCAATAAACCTAGAACTAAAGATTTTTTTTCCAAACACAGGTCAGATATCAGAAGCAGACTTGCTTTAAAATCAAGAGAAAATTTCATTTATGATACTAGGGTATCAGCTTGTGTGAGAGGAGGAGGAGTGCTTGAAGAGTTTTCACTGTTCTCTAGTTATGTGCGTTTAACAGCAGGATAATAAGAATGGTTTGGCGGACCTGTCACCCCTAACTTCTAATCAAGTAGACAGAACACAAGAGATTTAGCAGCTTTGAAAATGAGTATTTCAAATGTGTACATAAAACCTGTCTAGTAAGACGGACTCCTAATCTATTGATGTAAACCAACTTGGCACAGTTTAGGATATAAAAATTACATATGGTTCAGTGTTCAGTGAGGTGGCAGAGACAGCACCATTAATATGAATTCAAATGAAAATAATATGCATTCCAAGCTTCCACTGTTACATCACTGTTGCTATGGTGTCCAACTATTATTTTTTTTGACAAAAGGTGATTACGAACACATGAGTATTCAGAGAATGGAGCTGCGTATGAGGGCTGGCCCATAATTAAACTATCATTTTAAATAAGTGTTTGAACATGCATTGCATTTTTAAAGCAATTATAACACCCCCTAAATCCCCCCCCCCCGCTGCCAAAAAAGCATCATCTTACATGGCTAATAGGAAATACAGAATGTAAAATAATTTACCCACTTTTAAACAGTTTTCATGCACTTTACGTGTCATTATTTTCAAGTGAAGTCTTGTCTTAAAGGTGACATCAAATATTTTCTGGGCCGCAGTATGAAACAGAATGCCATTTTTGTTGTCCACTATATTGTTAAAATGTACTGATCCAATGTGTTTTCCAAAATATTTCTATCCTTCTGTCTGTTTCCTGACATTTCATTGGCAAAACAGAAGTTTTTCCTATACATAATGTGTACACAAGGCCTCTGAGCAGTCACACTTTCTGAGAAGTACTGCTCAGCTAGCACCCATTGGTGCGCCACAGGCAATAAAGTACTTATTATGAATAAGCAGCAATTCCTAAAATCAGAATCTGAGACCTGTACTAAACCATCAATATTTCCAAACCACTGTGAAACTCTCAATTTCTTTGCTGGAGGTTAGATATTACAGTGTAATCATGAATAATGTTAGCATTTAATCAAGATGGTCAAATTTAGTATTGGTGTTTTCTGTAAGTTTCTGCTTTCAATGAAAGTGAACATTTTAAGTAACTTAAGTGTATTTTGTTAACATTTTGATTCCATTATTTGTGGGAAAAGAAACATGATCCATATATACAAATAACTGTTAAATTAAGTTTGTTCTTTCCATTGTTTAAAAACATATGTGCTGAAACTAAAATGATGCCTGATAATGTTTGACGTAAAAATTACTTACTCGCCCAGGGGAAGAATGAAAAAGTAAACAACAATAAACTTGTTTGTACAGCATCTACAGACAACATTACAGCACCAGTCAGTTATTAGACATTTTAATACATCATCTGACTCATAGGAAGTGAGTCTTAAGTAAAAGTTTGTATTTACCTTCTTCAAGCACTTGCTTGTTCAAAGCAATCTTCAGTTCCTGCCACCTTCAGAGCTCAGTCTTCCTACCCTGCAGACAGAAGAAATAACACACTGTAATTTAACAATTACAGCTTATAAGCACTTGGTAACTGTTTGTAGGCACCACACTGTCAAAAGCAAACACAAATAAATCAACAAAGAAGTCCAACTGGACATAATCGTGCCTGACTCTGAGAGTTCATAAACACAGCCAAGGGATACAAGTATGATTTATCTGTACCAGCATGAGCAAGAAGCCATTGCTTAATAAGTACAACCTGCTTTCGAGAAATGTCATTTTCATTTCTCTATTTTTGCTTCTTGAAACAAACTTATTTTTTCGCCCTTTGCCAGATGTTTTCTATTTTATTGTCACAGTGCAACCTGTGATGTTTGCAATCTGTGTTGTTTGTCCTTAAGAGCCTCTTCTTAATATTTTCACAATCCCATGTTCTCACATGCCAACTAAGCTACTTTCTCATTTTGTTAGTGATGCTGTGATTACTGGCCGTGATGTTTTGATGGTTAAACTGTAACTCATCAATAATCAGTTCACCATGAGTGAAGATTACGAAACCCCTGTTTATATGCAAGCCTGACCACTATGACTGGACGATCAGTTTTTAAATCATAGATAAAAACATCCGCATGATTTCAAAGAACAGAATGACAAGTGCAGTTTACTTTTTACAGTATACACAAATGCCAGTGGTAACTAAATACCCAGCACTCATTTTTACATATGAAGATGGCCTTTAGGTTGTTACAATTAAGTTCAAATTGGAACAAGGAGGTATCTGCACTTTCCAGCATAGAGGAAACACTGTGTTCTGTTTTATTCTTTATGCTTTGCATTGTATACTCATAGACATACACACTGTAATTACAACCCCCATTCTCCTTTGTTTTCAAGCACAGAACAAAGATAATTTCAGTCAAAAATGAGTCTATATTACAACATTGCACATTTGTGTGGGTGTCCATTACCCTTCTGTAATTGAAAACTGAAACATCAGCTCAGTTAAGAGATATTACAGAGTTATTACCTCTTGCTGATTTGCCAGGAAGGTCACCTGCACTTCAAACAAAGAAGACGTAGGGACATTAAATGCATGGATCAAAATATGAAATAAAAAATGTTAAGTTTCTTATTTCTGTCCTCAATGTTGCCTTTAAAAAGATCAATGAAGTCTGAAAGTGGCAAAAATGTTCCAAGACCTGTACAGATAAACTCCTTAAGTAATGTACAACTTAAATATTAAATATGAATGGATTCCTTGAACTATGACATTAACTTCAATGTGCTAAACTGTGTTATGCACCACCCTTACAATTTAAAAAACACTTAAGAGAAAATGAAAGGGAGTTGCAAGTTATTTAAACTACGATGCTTTAAACCACCAGAACCTTCAAATCTCAAGCGCTTATATGGAAGACAGAGACACCATGACAGCAGAGGAGCGAGGAAGGTGGCCTGGACACATCCAAGTGCTTTTTACTTGACTATGCAAAATGGAGCTCTACAGTGAGCTGGTGCTTGAGACCCTCTTGTCCGGGTCAGTTTAAGAAGGCACATAGCCTGTCTAATACTTGGGTCAAATCTTCACAAGGTGTCTGAAAAAAAACAAAACCTACAGAAAATCAAGGAAAACAACCATTTGTCCCAATCAGGTATTCTTTACATCGGATACTGATGTGCACTGACCCTTAGTTAAACAAGATACCACAAATAATAAGGAACAAAGATTATTGCAAAAGCTCTTAGCATTGATGGACAAACCATCCTCTTCCTAAACCTAATTCCTTCTTTTCCATACCATCAAACTATTCCTGCATTGGCCAAATATGTTCCCGTTTTCCTAGAATTTCACTCAAAATAACTCATATCTCTGTCCCTGTGGAAATGATTTTCTTGCTCTAGTATTACCTGTCTTTAGTTTGCTCCAATGTTTGTTAGACAGCTGTGCAATACTTTAAAGCTGAATTAAAGTCATGATTTATATGACACATCACAGTAACTCACTGTGAATATACTATATAAAGCTTCCCATGTCAAATGCCTGACAAGTGGATAATGAAATTTGAACATACAAATGAATATATAGAGAATTACATGTGCTTATTTTTTTAAACAGAAATAAGGTTCTTTTGCAAAACATTCTACCCCTCCATTTGTAATCCAGAAATAATATTTTGAAAGAACACAACAAAAATAATATTTGTCAATATTTGGCTAGAAACTCTTTGCCCTTAAGAAAGCAAATAACAAGACATATTTCACAGACTGCACCACCTGGTGGCTATGTACACTTCTACTTCATGAGAAAATAACACTAATTCATCATAATAGAGCTGGCTTAATTTTAGGTTCTGATGTGCAACATTAACTGAGCATTTGAGTTAAAGCAGGACTGTACACTTATGGTCTATTCAAAAGAAACTGTGGTGCATTATCTCAAAGGTATTTGAATGAAAACACAAAGGGACATCAAAATATTAAAAACACTGATCTTTTATACTGTGCTTTTATGTGTTTCATATTTGGCATTCAAAATTGCGGTATACATTTCTACAACTTTAAGGACTCATCTGAACTGTTCTGCATGAAAAGCTGATAAAACAGAAAAGCATGATGTTGTTCTCTTAGAAGATTTATATTGCTCTGTTAACATACGAAATGGAAACAAAGCACCACCAGAGCTGTGGGCTAGGGATAAATTTAGATGGTTTTCCTAAGCACTGTATATTTACAGTAATCAGACAACATAAAGCACATTGAAAAAGAAGAAAAAAAAAGTTCAGTTTATATTTAGAGCTCTTGAGATTGAACCTTCTGTTTTAGTCAGCCAAGAATATATTTTCAGGTTCCATGAAAAAAAAATAAGTGGAAGCAAAGCTAATGCTATTTGGAGAATTTAGTATAGTTTGTGATTGGGAGCAAAATAAAATAAACCATGAGATCCTTGATAAAATAATACAAACAATCCAACAGTTTGACAGATATCTATGCTTTGTAGTTAACCCATAAATGTATTGCCATAAACTGACAACTGTATTGTGTATTGCCCTAAACGTGTCTGAACTACATACACTGCACACAAGATTTAGGGTGACAGATACTCCCAATTCTCTTCACACTCTGGACTGAGCACATATAAGTGTGTAGACTATCATGACATCCGTGGATCTGATCCTTCTGAAAAATAAACACAAATGAGCACATACAAATTAATCTCACAGATATGTTGGTATCTTTAAATACCATATATGTGGTATGTTTCACCCACAAACAGCCATTAAGGAACTTGCATTTAAGGGAAATTAACACTTTAAACTAGTGTTCTACCCCTCAACCCTACTTTTTCTATTCTCCAAATATAATCATAGAAATTCTATTATACAAGAGTATCACAAAGTCCCTATCTGGAAATGAATGTTATTTAACTTCACAGATTTTGATAGAAATATATCCTTATAAAAGGTTCTAAGTTGGCTTTTCAATCAGCTTATGCAGAAAACCTAGCTCTAAATACTATCTAAAAAATGAATGAAAATGGTATTTTGACTTCTGTTGTGCAACTTGACCTTAACACCGCATTGTTTCAAGGAAGATAATATTAACTAATGTTAGATCACATGATTTTTAGAATGTCAGGGATAAAGGAAAATAAAGTAATCCCAATCATTATTCTATTCTGCCCATTAACTGGAATGAAATAAAAATGTTACATTTTTAGGACATGTTTACATTTACTCACCTATTCTATATGTGAATCTTTGAAGCATATTGATGAATTCTGAATTTTTCTTCATAAGTTACTGGAAAAGTGGAAAGACTGGACTGTTGATCAGTTTTTTCAGACTTGTTCACACTTGCTGTCTTGTGTCTGTGCTTAAACATTCAAGGGCAATTGTACAGATCTGTAGTATCACTCCATCCAAAACCAAAAATTTTGGATAAGAGCACGCTAGCGTGCCAATTACTGTTTACATGTCTCCTGTAGGTCTAATCAATGACTATGTCATACTTTCCTTTTTTAAGGTTCCAAAATTGTTTTAAATACACAGCAAAATGTAACTACAGGACAGGCACACTCGCTCCAAGAGGAAAACTCGTCTCTAGTGTGTTTTTTAATGGAAGTGCTTTTAGTCACTTTTAGTCACAGGTTTGTTTAGACAAAAAAGAGGATATGCATTTTTACCACAAATTAACGTTATTCTAGTAATCATCCCTACACATGTTTAATATGCTGTTGGAGACTACTTCTGCCATGTTTGTTTATGAACTTTTAACATGCCCTTTTCATACTAATTAATGTTAATTGCAAAGCCTGACAATGGGAGACAATTGTTCTCCTTGTCCTTCTGCTGACAGACCTCAACAAACACAAACCTGCGTGAAACTGAATTTCCGAAACACCTCATAATCCGACAAGCTTTGATCTCCTCCAGTGTTGCTAGTAACAGGCATGAACCAGTACACAAAACACAATTATTTCTATTTTTCTGTGTAAGAATTTCCACACAACAGACTTCATTCTGAACACAGAAAAAATATTAACGCTTCAGTCAATTCGAAACAAATGCAGACTTTATTTACAATGGGTTCATGGAAGTGCTGACCTTATTACTTGAATTCTAAATATATTCAGTTTGGATGAGTTCATTAAGAGGTATAAGAATAAAACAATGAATTGTAAATTATCGTGCCAAAATCCTTCACATTACAGTCACCAACACACATCTACACAAACTTAGTATTACAAATACACTAAGCAATGTGCTTCACAAATGTAACAGGCATATGAAAGGTAACACTACATTGTCCAGACATTCTGATTCTTTGGAACGGAGTTTGATTTGTGGGTTTGACTGCATGTTTTACTGAGACGTGAAACTTTGGAGGAGAGGAAATAATACTATTTAAATGCTAAAGAAAAAGAATACTTTGGAAAGAAAGTCTCAACAGTGCAACAGGACACCTAAACATCATCCTGACACACAGCATTCCTAAATAAAAATATAATTCCTTCATAGTTCTATATAGTT